TGCTGAGGATCACCAAGGATTACAAGAGGTGGGGGTTCTTGTCGCCGGATCACCCTCATCATTCTTACTACCTGCACAAGAAGGTCTCGGGACAGTGCCGAGCCAGGAGGCCACCCGCGGCCTCCTAGCCACCCTTGTGAGGTCTGGGAAGGGTCAGATGTACGCACGCACCGCGGTGCAGCTACTTATGTCCCTAAACTATCTTATTGGCGTTAACGCGCGACGGGATTTTTTTTTTTTTCAAATAAGATTTTCCTTTCTTTGTAGTAGATTCTAATTTGAAGTGAATTTGTCTTTTGATTAATTGAGATCTCCTTTTACTCAAAAATAAAAAAACAACCATATAACTCGCGAATTAAGTTGCTTAATCTACAATTTGCCTTGTATTATATTTTGAGATTTGTTTGATTATTGTTTTTTTTAATGCAGTTAGAATATGATCCTTGATAAAGAGTAACTCTGATTTGATTTTTTTAAAAAAATACTGTAAATTATAATTTTCTTCCTTCAATGCTAAATTAAAATTTCTAGTTTAAAAATAATTACAGAAAAAAGGCAAACAAAACTTTTGACCGTAACACAATTTTAAGTCATCAAGTAATAGAATGTATTGCCAGATGATCTTATATTCTAGAATTTAAAAATAAAAGGACAGAAAATAAAAATGCATTGCTGTTACGTCGCAATTAATGTCTTTTAAGGCTAACACGCTGTTACGAAGGAAACTAATTAATCTTTCTTTCCAACTAAATCCATACTTTTTAATTTTCTATGTGACCTTATAATTTCCCAATCCCTTTCAGTTATTGCTAGATTTCTTCCTTTAATTTTAGTACTTATTAAGGAGATATAACACAAAAAAAAAAAAAAAAAACATGACTTTTTTCTGACCAGAGAAGTTGTTAAAAAACAGAGTACGAAGGATTATCTACTGTACAATGATGCGTAACTTACAAAAAAACAGAGTAATTCGTGATGTACCTCTTAGCAACAAACTTTGCTATGTACACATTCACAGTTCGAATCAAATATGAAAGTAGGTTAAATTCCAGCAAGAGATATATATGATTAGTCAAGTATATGTCTTATGTCCTTCATCATAATTTATATTTTAAACATGAATCAATCTACTTTCATTTTTTGATATTCTATGTCAACCAAAATGAATAAAAATGAAATCTAATTACGTTTAGGTGTGAGATCATAAGGGGAGGGATGAAAGAGTACCTGACGCCGATGGGTCCAACTCCTCTCCATATCAATCCCATATTCGAGATTGGTCCGGTCGAGCCGCGCTTCTCAGAGTGGCTGGTCTTCGAGGGTATCAGTGTCGAGGAGTTTGGTCGACAACATTACCTTGATGCCTCCATTGCAAACTGTAGGCGTTTAAAAATGCCTATAGGTGTCCGCACACAGCTCGAGACGGAGAGAAGATGACGAACGTCGTTATCTGAGTCTAAGAGGATTATCTGACGCTGACAAGTGCATGAACCGGAATGGCGAACCAACTGTGTCTCGTGCGCTCACCGGCCGTCTCCAATTGGCCGTCACGCTCGTCAGTCAGCTCGCGCGCGTCAGTCAGCTCAAAGTGCCCGACGCGCTCGTCGGTCAGATCCAAAGTGCCCGACGCGCTTGTCGGTCAGTTCCATGTGTTGTAAAGAAGCTAACAAATGCATGAAGCGAGTTAACGACGCGTGCAAGTCAACAAGAATACGCAAAATGGCAGAAAATACAAGTCCCGAAAAATCGGAAAAACACCAAAAAGTTCAGCAAAGACCAAACTTCCCGCGCAAGCGCGGGTCGGTCGCAACTGACCTGCGCCCCCCGCGGGTCACCAGTGCCCGTCGCGCTGTTTTGATCCCCAAACGTGTTTTCGACGGTTTTGAGCTGTTTTCTCGGGATTTATCTGTTCCAGGGGTTCCCAACTGACTTGATATCATCCACAAACGTGGTTAGGCTGTTATTAATTGAAGATAAGGTCAAATCGCTCATTCTCATCCAAATACCCCCCAACCGAAGCCTATAAATATAGGCCTAGGGGCTCATTTCACAGGGGCAGAATATTATCAAGACGAGGAGGTGCTGCCGGATTGAGGAGTCAAAGGAACACGAATTTTAGAGGAGGCTAACTGATCTCGGCGAAGTTCTTCAGTATAAAGAGGGAGAGTTCGAGAGATCTGAAGCCCC